GGCTTTCGCATGAAGTCAACTGCTAACCAAAACAACTCTTTTCACGCTAGCGGCGTGAAAATCACGCTCGCATCTTGTGAACTCTGAATCCATCTATAGGCAATACATAATTCGGGAATGCTCCGGTGTCGTGATACCGCCATTTCGTATGTGTTGCGGACGTTTTGTGTACATTCGAACACACAAACACTGCGAAAAATAGTAGGAATGCTTATAGGAAAATTTTCCTTGACGCAAGTTGTGAAATTACAATTTGTAATCTTCAAAATCGCCGAGTGAATTGGCGTGTAAAAAAATATGCCCTCGTATATTTACAATCTTAAATTAAAATTCCAGTTAAGAATTTTTTTTTGTAAATTTACGACAATTTGTTTCAAAGTGAAAAGTGAGAAAACGCAACAAGTGCAATGTTGACTTAAACCGGAAGTAGGCAAGTGACGCGAGGAGCGTCCCCATCGTTCCGGGAGGCGGAAACGGAACTTACTGCCATCGTCGGCCTCGTTTGCGTCCTGCTGCTGGGCAGGTCATGCCCTTTTGCCCTGTCTTGGTCGCCTCTCCCGTGCCCCCGCTTGGGGGTATATCCGGTCGAAGCACCCACCCCTCCTTCCCCTACCCTCCGTGCAGCGCAGACAAACAATTACTTCCGGTTTGTCTCCCTGAAGCGCGCCGCGCGCCTTTTCCTCGTTTCGGGTAAAACGACCGGGTGGCCTCTGTGTTGCGGCTGGCCTAACTCACCGGCGGATCACGTATGGACCGGGAGGGAGGCCAACCCCCGGAACTTTGTTGCCTTGTGCGGGGCACGTTGTAGCGGGGCGGGGCGGGGCGTGGCGTGGTGGGGCGGGGCGGGGCGGCACGTATCCGTCCATTTGTTGTTGTTCGTGCGGAGCAGGTCCGCGGGACGAGTCGAGGCGAGGGGGTACGCCCCGGTACGCGCGATCCTTTCTCTCGGAAGCGGTGGGGCCCGCCCCGCCCCCACATTCGTTCCCTCAGCTTACAGGGGAGCCCATCATTCGCCCCGCTCGCTTTCCAGAGTCCAAGCTCGCCTGCAGCGACACTATAGGAGGGTATCCAACCGCTCTGTGGCCATTTTATACTTTCTTTTATCGCCTTTTAAGTGAACTTCAATTAGGAAAGTCTGAAAAGTTTCAAAAAAATAAAAGTAACATAAAAGCTTAAAATATTTGGA